ATTCTCAATAAGAGTGACTTAGGAAATTTGTATTTAAAATATTTTGAATTATCTCCGTAACCATTAGGCATGAAACAACGCTTCAATATACAAAATTATTTCTTTTTTTTAGCTCCACGAAATGGTTTGGGAAGATATTGTGATTTTTTGTTTTTATGCTCCAAATGGGAAAACCCTATTTTCACCCCATAAAACCCGCCTTTCCATAGTCCGATCACGTTGATTCGCCGACTCGTTCGAATAAACGTAGGTTTGCACAATTGTACCAAATTTCTTCAAAATCGGATAATTTTTGCATTAGTTATCGCGCAGCCATAATGGAAAATTCACTAAAAAGTTAAAAATTGGAAACAATTTTTCACCCTCAAAACTTAAATTTTCTAATTTCTCTCTCGACTGTTTTGTAGAACATAAAAAATAAATTAGTAATTAAGTTATACTAGCTGTTACCCACGGGCTCCACCCCGTTTACTACATAAGTATTAATAAAACTATTGATTGGTTAAGTTAAGCTGAAATAAACAAAGCAGAATACAGTAATGGTAATACAAACAAATAATAACAGCTGAGGTATTTTTAACATTAGATAAATGGAAAATTTCCCTTTGGAAAGCAATTACGACCTTATAGGGCAATTTATGAAATAATGGATAATTTTGAGCAAGGTTTCTCGTCATGACGAACATTTTAAGTATATGGTTTATGGGGGGTGTGACTTGTAGTTTTCTCAAAAGTGCATGGGTACTTTTGGCTTTATATATAGATGGAAGTGTTTTTGTACAGTTTTTGTTATGGATAAAATAAAAATATGGTAAACTAAAATCCCCGTGTTATTTTTAGGGAGAAAAAGTAAACGGTTTCAGTTTGCTTATTTATGGATACGAGAGGTCGTCCAGTGGTCGAAATTCGACCAAAAATATGTAATGTACTCACTTCTCTATTTTCACCCCACACTGTAAATAAAACATGTGATTGGAGTTTCTTCCATTTGTTTTGATTTTCTGTTTATATTTCGTTGTTATTTCGTCACCAGCATTGCAACGCATAAAATCCATGTTAATTTTTTCAAATTTTCAAACTCATTTTTTGTGTTTATCTTTGAGTCTATTTAAATTTATAAAGGGATTCTGCACACCTACAGGAAAATTGCTTTCTAACGGTATGCGCAGATTAACCCCACGATGCACACAAGCTGAGAAAAAAGGTTTTAAAGAAACATGCTTGCCTATTAATATATAGATAGATACAGGGTGGCTGAAAAGTAACTTGCACCCCCCCTTAACTTTTCAACCATTTGAGATATTTGAAATCGGTTTGCGGCAACCTTCTTAGATATGAGAGGCTACAATAATTATGGTAAATTTAGAAAATTTTGCGCTTAGGGGTAGCGGGCGTAGGGAGTAGATCAAAATTTTCAAATGACAAGTATAGTCGAGTTTGGTATCATTTTACAGGTCTTGACGAAACATAAACATTGACATAAGGAAAACCAAAATCGGTCCACTAACAACAAAATTGCGCCCAAAAACGTTTCAAATCCAAATAACCAAGAGGGTGGTAAAAAAATTAATTTGCACCCTCTTTAACTTTTTGACTATTTGAGATACTTGAATCGGTTTGCGGCAACTTGTTTGGATATAAAGGGCTACGATAATTATCGTCAGTTTTGCAAATTTTGCCCTTAGGGGTATCGGTGGTAGGGGGTAGCTCAAAATGTTCAAATAGCAAGTATAGTCGAGTTTGGTATCATTTTGTAGGTCTTGACAAAACATAACAATTAACATAAAGAAAATAGAAATCGGACAATTAATAACAAAATGGCAGTTCAAAATTACTTTAAATAACCATTGTCTCAATCATTTTTAGCTGCCATTTTGTTATTAATGCTTCGATTTCTATTTTCTTTATGTTAATTGTTATGTTTCGTCAAGACCTACAAAATGATACCAAACTCGACTATACTTGCTATTTCAACATTTTGAGCTACCCCCTACCCCCGAACCCCTAAGGGCAAAATTTTCAAAATTTACCATAATTATTTCATATCCAAACAAGTTGCCGCAAACCGATTTCAAATATCTCAAATGGTTGAAAAGTTAGGGGGGGGGGGTGCAAGTTACTTTTCAACCATCCTGTATTGTGATCAAACTTTGCAAATTTATTAATTTTTTACTAAACTGTTGATATTTTACGAACTCACACTTTATTATCCTACCTGAAGTAGCGAACATAGCTAGCCTACTTAGGTATTACTGTAAACCTAATGTTATTAAAATAGGTGAAAATCAAATCAGGCAAATGAACATTTTCTTAGTCTGCAGGTTTGCTGTGACGGGGGTATTTTATTAATCCTACGTTCACAGAACTTGATTTAACAGGTGCCATACATAACATCCTGAAAACTGAATTATCCGTTTGTTTTAAGATTAGGAAAGAACGCTATATTGAAAATTCATTTTAAATGAATATGCTGTAGAATCTATTACATAGATAATATCTACAGCCAAATTATACGATGCAACTTTAAAAAGTGGCCATCCAGTTACATTTCGATTCGGCATGGCGAAAATTTTCGTTTACCAAATAACTTATCATCCATTAAAATTTAGTTGGAACTAAAAAGTATTTCATTTGGTCTTATTAATAAAATATGAATAAACAATTTTGCTAACAATAAGTCGCAATAAAATTTACAAGGAAGGTATTTCAATAAACCCTACGCTATGTCGTAGGTTTGTAAAAAAAATAAACTTTAACTTAAGGTGATTAGACTGAAATATAAAAGCCAGCAATCCAACTTTAAATATGCCAACCAACATTGTCTATTAAGCGATCCTATAAATTGTTGCAAGTTTTTCCATAGTCAAGCCATCATATGATGTGGGGTGTTGAACCACCAAAGTAATACAGGTTTGGTGGTTTGAGGCTCCACAACGGAAGCTTTTGGTTACTCTGTTAATTACTTTCACGCTTTCACTATATTAAAATTTAAAAGTTTTAAAATTTTACCATATCTAATTTTTAGTTTTAATAGTTCTATACTGTATAACGATTTAACCGATTCAATTTTGTACTGATCATTAAATCAAAGTATGTTCGGCTTAGTCATTACAATTTTTAAATTGGAGTATAGTAATTTTCACGCTTTAAAACACAAAATAATTAAGATCAGAAACAATAAATACTGCTAGATTTTTATAAATGTAAGTTATATTAATATATAATTACGGATTCAAACTCTAATGACTAAAAATAATAGTTTTTTTTTTTATTACAGGAATTATTTTGTAACACCGAAATGTAATTTTACGCGCAATAATTTACCATATATCACCTTTACAAAAACGTATATTTCGTTTACACAACTTTTACTAAATAGTGATGTAAATGAAACAATACCATGCAAGGTATGTGTAATGAAAGTTTGTAACATTATAACTATTGGTTTCGTTTCGCGAATGGCGTTTATTTCCCACAAAACCTACAATGACACATAAGATAATGGTGAATAGTTTAAAGGGGGGTTGCTAACCTAGGATTCCGGTCATGGACTTTGGTACAGGAGGAATGGGATAGATTTTTAATACTAATTAATTCTTTTAATTAGTATTTAACTTTTAATTCTTTTAAATTCTATTTTGATTCATCGACACAAATACTACAGTGAGAAAAACTAAAAATAGGAATAAGGTGTATATACTACTATTACAGGTATCCTATACAAAATGTAAATAAATATTTACTTTAATGATTGACTATAAAATATTTCTGACCATATTATAACAATTTGTTTCATTGAAACTAACATGTTTTTGTTGCCTAGATACAGTACTGAACTAACTATCATATTAAATAATCTGAAAGATTTCTACTCTAAAAGCATAATATATTTATTCCCAAATTTATTTGTTGCATTAGACCACACTAATGTGCTGTTGTTGTATATTTTGTCTAGATATATTACTATCCTGGTTCATTCCTTGGATTAGAAATTCTCAAGATCAGGATTGTATGGCAACAACAACAAAACAAGATATAATGACAAACAAATCTAAAAATGTTAAAGCATAAATTAAATTATGTATGAGATTGGAATAAAAATCTACCTTAAAACTTATAATTACTTATTTTAATAGTACCAAATAATTAATAATGCAACCATTTCCGTTTCGTTAAACTTGAAATTAATTGTATAAATACTTAACTGAATACATTTAACGAAACAACTTTGTATTATGATGCAAAATTGTTTTTAAAATTATATGTGCTTTATTCACCTCTACTCTGCATCAATTGCTTGATATTTATCAATTTTAATCCAACAGACAGTTAATTTAATCGTGTTAAGAGTAAGCAATATACATTTCTTGAATTGGTGTTCACATTTCTTTCACATGCTTCAAAGAATTATTTTCTCTTCTTTTTACGTCTTTCACCTTTTTAGGAGCATAGTTGAAGCTACTTGACCTAAAAATAGTTACTTTCTTATAAATAAACTTATTTAAACAAAGTTTTACGATAAGAGTAGGACTCTTTAGAATGGGAATGCAGATTTTATTTTTTTTAATTTCTCACAGGAAACGCCACCCACCCCATTTACTACATCTAAACTACACCAAATCTGATAAAATATTTTCCCAAATTTAGGATTAAAGTTAGTAATTTAACGAGAATCGATGTGATAACGGCTAATTCTATATTAGTTAACTGTCTCATAAGTCATTTACATTCATACACACACTTACACATTTACAGACATTTACATTGAAAATTACACGGCCTTTATAATAGTAAAACCTTGATAACAAGACTCTCGGGGAATATTAAATAACAATTGTTATCAAAGACGACTTATTATCGAGGTTTGTCATGTTATTAGGGGTATTAAGTTATAGGGAATTTGGAAATGACACTTGTTATCGAGGGTAACTTGTTAACGATGGTCTTGTTAACAAGTTTCCACTGTAATTGATTACCTTAAAGTTGTTTTTTTGTTTCAGTCCCTAGACGACTGGTCATTCGACGTATTCTCCCTAGGCAAAGCGGCGCAGAACCAGCCTGTCAGATATCTCGGATACGACCTTCTTAACAGATACGGCTGCCTGTCTAAGTTTAAGGTAGGTTTAATTTTACATTCATATTCAATAAAAATATTCAAATAATAATTGTGTTAATTGTCAGTAAATTCATTTCTTGTATAAAATTAATTAAGAGTGAATATTTGTTTTCTACTGAAATAAGATAGAAAATTTATAGTCTATTTTGTATTTATTAGCCTGAGCACTCGCTCATTGTTAATGAAATGTAAATAAGTAATTTTATTTGTGCTAAATCACCATATATTTAGTGAAGTAACAATAAACATATAGAAAACATAAAAACAATCTCTACATGTCCCGGACAGAAATAAACCTAAATTTTTCTTCAACTGAGTAGTTGAAGAAAAATTTAAGTTTATTGTCTAAGTTTATTGTTACTTCACTAAATATATGGTGATTTAGCACAAATAAAATTACTTATTTACATTTCATTAACAATATTAATAATATATTAATAAATCTATACAGACTTACTTACTTACGTTACAAGACTTACGTTACTTATTCTTTAAGAAAATGAATACAAAATCAATGTAAAGTTGTATTCTCTCTGAGTACAAGCCCCCTCAACAAGTTTTAAAAACTTGGTGATCAAAATTGCTATGAATGAATTAGATTGATTTATAATATTTAAACATAATTTTAAATCTGTTAGTCCTCAAATTTTGTAGCCATTGATTGATATACCGCACTGTAAAATTTACTTTAAAGTGCATTTTATATCTGCGGACTTATACAAAACTGTAAATGAATACATAAATAAAGCTTTAGATCTTACTAAATGATAAACTAACAGTATCTAAAGGTCAATTTAATTGTTTACTATTGATGTTTCACCGTCGTATGTAAATATTTATTATTTCCATCCTAAACTTAGGGAGAAATTATCACACCTTTATATTACTCATTAGAGGAAGAAGTATTAAGGAATCGTTTTATAATCATTTTTACTTATCACGTATCTATTTCATGTTATTAATTTTTTATGTGGCTTTCAATCAAAAAGGTCTAATTTATTTTAAAGTGCTTTATTCATTAGTAATTCAAACATACATACTATAACATAATATACACATATCCCTTAAAACAACCCCTTAGAAATAAGATAATTTCGTCTGAAAGCATACCAAGTTTAACTTCTTAATAAGTTTTTGCATTTCTGCATTTCTATGGATAAAAACGTTCATTTGACACTCGCAAGGCCTAAATATTAAAAAAATTTCCTCATTATAATTGTTGCGAGTTTTAGATAAAATTTTAGAGTACTTAAATTATTAAGCCTCAAAAAGTGTTCTGCTATCGATAGCTTATTTTATATTATTTATTTAAAAATATATTTTACGGTGGTAGAGCGCGGGACATTGGTCTCTCAGGTCCTGGATACACAGCCCGCCATCACCAATGAATTTTTTAGACCTTAGTAGTATTACCGCAACCTCTAGGCCTAGCCTTAAGTATTGGGGAAAACAATACCGGGTTATTAGCCTAGGACATTTGCGCATTCAGGACAAAAAAGGGAAAAGTCCATATAGATATAATTGGGAAGTATTGCAACATCCAAAATGCAATTTTGGACTCTGATTGCTCGTTAATTAATTAGTGGTTTCTTTAATCCATTTGAACAATAGGCCAATTATTGTTTGCTTGACCTATACATACATCCATTACCTTACATAACCAGGCATTTTTCTAACAAGTGCCCTACTCCAAATGTGTGTTTATATATTTATTTACCTATGATCAAGGCATTCTTGCACTAATGTTTTTATTTTGTCCCAAACAGATAAGTCTTCAGACAATAGAAAACTTCCTCAACAGGGTCGAACAAGGGTACTTGAGGTATGGGAACCCTTACCACAACAATCTTCATGCCGCCGACGTGGCCCAGTCCGTCCACTATATGCTCTGTCAAACAGGCCTCATGGTAAATATAGCACTTTTTACTCCCCCCCCCCCCCATACATAGTATAAGGAGAAAGTACTGTTTTCGTCAAGATTTTTGAGTTGAAGTTTCGGTGAACATACTCCTGAACCCCAAAAAAATGTTTTAAAGTGATGTTTGTGAGTATGTGCATGTGAACAGATCTACATACTAAATATGTATCATATATCACTAGTGGAACCCCGTCGAAATCGACGGTTAATCTTGAGGTTTTATGTAAATTCAGCTAATTGTGATGGATAGAGTGAAGTCATTAAAATCTTAGTTAAATGAAGGGAAGATAAGCAATAATAAGTATGACGATTGTGTTCCCTAAAAAAAGTGATTGATGAATTCGTTTAACACAATATTTCCTACCTTTTTATCGGCTTTAGGTTGCCCAAAAGGTTTTTAGGAGTCTTATAATTGTTTGTTCATGGGTTTGTTTCATACCAAGGCCACTTTCACTATATGGGAGAATGAGTTCATATAATTAATCTATCATGTTACGGAAAGAGTCAATATTTATTACTAACCACTAATTCCATCTGCTTTAGGAAAACCATTCAGATTGTATCCGGATTTATAAGTAATATTCATCTTTGGTCATAAAAATACAGAATTCTATCAGCATATTAAATAAGTTTTTTTTGTTTGATAAAAATATTTGATTCTCCAGAAAGCAGTAACATTCTTACTTCGATGTCAGCAATTTTAATTCCTTCTCTTGCCACATCGACCCATGCATTTAATCATCCTGTTCTTACTTGATAATTCATTAACTTATAGGGTAGTTTTGCCTTGGCCTTATAGATCACATAAAGCTGTGCATATATTTCGTGGATTGGAATGAACCATAATAGTAGGAAATTTTATCACAAATCTTGAACATTTGCGGAACCAAATCCATAACCTAGTCCAGCCTTGGTAACAAATTATGAAAATGCGATGAGATGTGATGTGTACGATGTGAACCCTGTTGTGTTTCCGAATGTTTTGTATGTAGTGAGGTTTAGATGCGTTGTTCGACCTAGCTACATGTGTACATAAAAGTAAAAACTGTGTACACATTTTTTTTTAATACCTGAATTGACATTAGTTCACATACTTTACCAAAACCATAGACTCCGTAGTTAGTCTATTCCAAAACTTGAACACAGCTCTCATCCTCAACGTACTCATTTATGACACAATTTTCAACCCGATTATCAAAAACTGTTATACCAATAAATGAATCTCAGGTGTTCTTTCTTGAATTTAAAAATAAATGGTGATTGAAAGTAGGAAAATAGCAAGTGCCAACCTTACAATATATAAGCTAACCCGATAAGAAATAGTTATATGTTCCTTTGAAATTGATATGTCACACTTATGTCATAATTTAAAATTTTCTAAGAGCAATAATGCATAGATTTTTGAACAAAACATTTAAAACGTATCATAAATTCATCATTTTGTTGAAACTATAAAAAACTTGCCATGCGGTGGAGAATCCATTTAAAATCATAAATAATAATGTAAACATTTAATTTTGACAGTTTCAGTAGACCTTTGAATACAATTTTAATATTAACAGCTGGTTCATTAAAATTAGTGTAAAATTATCCATATGGTCGAAATGGAAACAAAATTGCAGAGGGAACTTTAAAGGCCTCTGGGGCAGAGCCGCAAGGAAATTTACCTCGTTTCTATTTTGAGGGCTCACCTACAGACCAATACCTTTCTTTAGACACCCCTACCAAGACCCCACTACACTACAGGCCGGAGTCAAGCCGCGGTGACGTCACACAAGTCGCCGAAACTCAGCGCCAGCAATACACGGGGATAAAGCGGGGTTTGGTGTCGCGCTTCGATAAAACTGCCCCTGATCGTCAAAATAAATTAGTAAAATATATGTATTATATACCATTGTAATCTGCATAAACTGACGATTGCATCGGTGTAACTCTTGGATCTCCAATGATTAACATATATTTTTTAATCTGATAATAAAACAACACTTAAGAACGTTGTACGTGTGATATAAGTAATAACTGTATGTTTTCATATTTGATGGTTAAAAAAATACTATATCACAGTCATAATTGCCTCTATAATATTTTGTACTATAAATTAGTTTGTTATCTTGTAGGCCTATGATAAATAAATTATATAGAACTAATTTAAACAAATACATTTTTGTTTTATGGAACACTAAATAAATATATCTGAACGTTTTATTTCTCATTATATTTATTAAATCACATAAATTTCAATCTTAACAGCAATACAGTATATGTTACCGTTGTTAATACATCAATAAAGACATATTAAAGTCAATATACATATATATTATTTATCTGTAGAAATTCTATTACAGTACTTTTTAATTCAGTTGTGCTCGGGGTTTAGTTTATCTGATTTCATTTTCTTAATGTTTTTTTTTATTTTTACTATCCTTTCCTTTTTTGCCTTATCCCTGTTTAATTTGTCATTGAAAGACTTGGAATAAGTCAGACCTATTGAAAAGAGAAAATTAGACCTATGAATTGATTTTAACCATTTTCACGATTAGCAGCGTCGTGCGGGAATCTGAGGGGTCCTTCGTAGTATAATTGCTTTTTTTAACTACTAGGGGTCTCAATCCCGGGCCTTCAATCCAATCCCGGGATTTCGGGATTCGTCTCAGCCGATCCCGAGATTATACAATATTATGATTTTTTAACTTTTAGCCATTTTAAATGAGCGAGAAGTCCCCTCGTTGAGTACTTTAATGTTTAAACTGGCCTTACCAGTGTTACACTGCGGAATTTCGCCAGAACTTTCATCACCCGTCTTTCTTATTTACAGTGTATACATGTTGATATGTCACTCTAGAATATAATAAGTACATTTAAAAATCGCAATCGCACGTAGCCTATATGTTATGCTAATATACAGATTAAAGATATCTAAGATGAAAAGATTAAATGGGAAGAATCACGAGTAGCAGCGTAAAAATGTTATTTTGACTGACAGCAATTAAACAATAAAGATACTGTAAAACAATAAACCATCTGCTTATGTAGTAGCGTGTATATGAAAAACGTAATTTAGGATTGTAAGAAATTTAATCACCACACTAATAACCAAATACGAAGATAAATTTATAGACCCTAAATATAAGCAATCTTTATAATTATAATGAAATTATAATGATGTGTTTATAGTTATATTTTATGGCTTCAATGAATATAATACATCAATTTCCGATTACAATGTTATATTTGCTACACCAATTGCGTTGTTTACGTTTAATGTCAAAAGTAAAACTCAAAATAACTTATAGGCCTACTTTAATTAAGTTCTTAGAATGTAATAACATTTGCAGAAAGTATATCCAAATCGTCTAAAAACTGAAACATAAATTTACATTCGTTCACCTATTGAGTTTAATGATAATTTAATTTTCCAATCAAAATAGATCATTGATTATACCATTTCATATAATATATTTACTGTATCGTCCTAAAAATAAAGAGTATATGTGTTTCAAGTGTTATTGGACGTATTTTTATTTATTTTCCGTAAGTAAAAGTCCCCAAATTCACAAAAAACTAAATATAAACATAGGTTTTGCGATCCCGTTAATCCCGGGATTAAAAGTCACCAATCCTGGGATTTCTAGGTATCAAAAATCGGCCGGGATCCCGGGATTGAGACCCCTAGACGCAACACGACGATGGCATGATGACTAAATACACTAAACTTCATCATACAACAACAAAAACAACACAGAGCACGTGGGAATTGGTGCCGCACAACGTTGTGTCAGGCGGCGAGGCGCGGAGGCGGGCTCAGTTCGGCGACATGTGTGACGCATCGATCTCTATTAATTAATAGAGATCGATGGTGTGACGTAGCACCCGAAATGGAGGGGGTAGCTCCGGCCTGTAGTGTAGTGGGGTCTTGCCCCTACCAAGTTTCTACGCCCAGCCGTTCTCTCAAATAAGCTGTGACAAAAACCTCGTTTTCCTCCATAAGAATAACATGGGATGGGAATTTAAAGGCCACTGGGACAGAGCCCCGAGGGAATTCTCCATGTTTCTCTTTTGATGGCTCATCTACAGACCAGGACCTTTCTTTTGACACCTCTACCGAGTTTCTACGCCCAGCCGTTCTCTCAAAATAGCTGTCACAAAGAAAAACAGTTTCAAATTAATATATAGATAGTTACTCTCACCAACTACTTATATGAGGGTTGTTGAAAATTTAAAGATAAGTTGAATAAAACAAGTTGGGAACATAGTCACTTATAGTTTGTCCGTACCGATTGTTTTTGTTTTTGTTTAGTAAACTCTTATTTACTGTATTATTTTGTAAATCAAGACAATAATAGGTTAAATTAATTTTTTTTTAGAATTCAAGTTGGAAATAATCATGAAATAAGTGTATATAGTTGCCATCGATAAATTTAAGTGGTAAAATTACAAATTTATACAAAAATCTGAAATGAACACGCTAAAAAAAAACTCACGCTTCTACTGCAAGAAATGTAAAACATTCTTAGCCGAGTGGATAATATTGACACCATTATTAAATATATTTTAACTCTCTCAACATTTATCAATTTATCAATTATTTGAGATGGAGACGCCACCTCGCGTATTTTAACCCAATTTTTGAGTGTAGAATAAGATCATCTTTGTAGCTTTACTGACTGATCCCTGCTTGCAGAACTGGATGACGGACCTAGAAATCTTCGCCACACTGATCGCCGCTCTAATACACGACTACGAACACACGGGGACGACTAACAATTTCCACGTCATGAGTGGAACGGACACGGCGCTCTTGTACAACGACAAGGCAGTTCTAGAGAACCACCACCTCAGTGCCTCATTCAGGTGAAAATCATGTTTATTTACAAAAACTCTCACATATTTCAATGCGAAAATAATCTCAAATAGGTTATATGAACCGGCGTGTGATAATAATTTAAACAAAAACTTGGGTTACCTCAGGTGGTGCCTACCGACCTCTTTTTTATTTCCTCATACACCTGGTTTGTCGACCATATTGCCACTAGGCCACTATCTATAGCTCTTTTCATATAACAGTAGTATGCCTGTTAGTCCTACCATTAAATCGTTTCGATCAACGTCTTTATTATAATAGTATTGTATTTTTAGTTAGTACTTTACCTCAGTTACTCTGTAAAACAGTTAAATTGTACTTAGAAACGCTCGGAAATAAAGGCATTTTTATTTATTTTTTATTTATCAACAGGTTGCCCTCCTATGGAGGTTTTCCGCTTCTTCTGTTTCACATTTTTATTCCAACTTATTAAAGCAATTACCTCTTTTTAGCTTTAGAGTAGTTTTAAATTCAAAATACTGCATATGGGGGAACCAATAATACGTTAACTGGGGCTTGAATTACTTATATTTATATATTTTGAATGTTTTAATTTTGCTGTTCTCTTTGGGTTGTGCAGCATCATTTCTGAACTTGTTTTCATGTCGTAGGGTTCTTAAAGAAGAAGATTGCAATATTTTGAGTAATATGTCGAGAGAAGAATACAGGGAATTCCGATCTTTAGTGATAGAAACAGTACTGGCAACGGATATGAGCTGTCATTTTCACCAACTCAAGAACATGAAGAATTTACTTTCTCTTCAAGAACCAAGGTAAATAAATTAATATTTTGGTCACAATTGTATATAATTTAATACAAATTTTTAAGAATCAACCAATATAAATACACCTTTTTCCAAACTGTTTTGAATTGTGCCTCAATAAATGCCTTCTTGCGTTGAAATATCTCAGTGAATTTAAAAACAATCTGTCCTATGAAACAGAACTTATAACTTAAGTAATATTTTCACAATCTATTAAACTAATATAAGAGTAAAACTATGACTATAATTTCCAAAGAAAAGGTAAAAAATCATGTTTAACATTGATTTAGAATACAAGTTTCCTCCTGCAAAATCTAACAGGCAAAGTCCATAGAAAAAATATTTACAATTGTTCTGTTTATTACATTATTATAAACTAAAAGAAATTGCATAGAATAACCCAATTGCACAGAGTAACCCAATTGCATTAATAATAACAAGAAGAATAAATAAATTACATAGGACAATGAAAATTCAGACAACTACCAATAAAATAACTGTTCCCTTATTAAATTTTTCATTGTTTAAGTATGTCTCAGAATTTTTTTTACTACAAAATGGTAGTTTTGTTTAATTTATGAAACTATTTTTGAATGGCCTAATCCGATGGATATTCCGTAAAACTATTTGGATTATTAAGTTTATTTATTGTGTAGTGACATAATTTATTAGTGATACTACGAGTATGTGAAATTTTACAATCACTGGTAATATTATTACTGTTTTAGTATCAGCTTTATAGGACTTTTTCATAACTCTAGGTACGCACCTCATTACAAAGTACGGGTCAGGCTACTAGTTGTATCCTTACTCTTTTTAATTTTGAATTACCTATTAATATTTAATTTTTTTCAATGGCAGCATCGACAAGGCGAAGGCGTTATCTCTAGTTCTCCATTGTTGTGATATCTCACATCCTGCCAAGAAGTGGGATCTGCACTTCCAGTGGACGTCGCTGCTACTGGAGGAGTTCTTCCTGCAAGGAGACCGAGAGAAGGAGTTAGGACTTCCATTCAGCCCTCTCTGTGACAGGAAAAACACCTTGGTCGCGGAGTCTCAAATAGGTTTGTAGGAAACAAAACTTGCATCGTAAATTAATGCAATTCTGGGCAATTACTTGGTCCACCCCAAACTTTGTCAACTTGGTCAGCCCCAAACTTTTTCCTATTTTACTACGGTCATAAGGATGTTCTCAGAAAACAAGAAACATATAGGTACCTAACATAACCTAACCTAACCTAGCCTAACCTAACCTAACCTAAACATAACCTAGCCATACCTAACCTTGCGGGGCTTGAATGATATGTTTCTTGTTTTCTGAGAACATCCTTATGACCGTAGTAAAGTATGAAAAAGTTTGTGGTTGACCAAGTAATTGCTCAGAATTACCTAAATTAAAATCTAGACTAATACATACTGTATTTCATCTATGGCCTAAAGTGACTCCTTTCGACCGGAGTTCAAGTTTTACTGAAGGAAAATTAGCGTGGGTTTAAAAGACACATTTTGCCCTTGTGATGAACTAAATTTTTCGTCATATTAAATCATTATTTGAACAAACTATGTTACAAAACTATCCAAAATCAGCATTTCTTAGGATCGGACCAACAACCTTCAGGTTTGAAGGCGGGCAATATTACCACTCAGTTAAAAGTAAGAAGTTGTGGCTAAGACACAAAACACTTAACAGGATAAACTTCATGATATTAAATGAACCTATGCTACCTATTACTGCTGCGCCCATTCTTCTACATGCAAGTCTTCAGTGGGGATTAAGCTGGTCTAGTGGTAGAGATCGGCGCTTCGGAGCCCGAGGTCCTGGGTTCAAATCCCGCCAATCAATTGATTGTATCTATGTGATAATGCCACGACCCTCTAGGACTAGCCTGAAATAATTTGTAAACAGTTCCGGGCTAGAATATGTGATTCCTCGAGAAGTGATGATGGGAAACATAAAAATATCCATAGAGCCGAAACTGAATTTGCCACTTTTGTTGCAGGTTTCATAGAGTTCATCGTGGACCCTAGCATGTCAGTCTGTAGTGACATGTTAGAAGCCATCCTCGCCCCCGTGGTCGCCCCTGCGGCCGCCAAGGAAGTCAAGAGATCAGTGTCAGTCTCGGAAGACACGAGAAAACATCATGGTAAGAACTCTCATTCACTTTGAGTAATGCTAAATAGACTCATTATTCCAGTGTAAAGTATCAAGTCCGTTATCTGTTTCTAATTAACAGTTAAAAGCAAAATATAAACTCAAATAGCATTTTCATCTGGAAAGAACCATGTACTTGTCACGTCTGAAATTTAAAAGGGTAATTAGATCTCACGTTACCATCCAAACTTATTCCAAACAAGCTATATACATTAAGCATATAGTTTAACAAATGTATTTATCGATTGTCTAGTTGTGTGTTACAAATTATAAGAAGTTAATAACAGGTTATAAGGAGTACCTTTTGTCACAGTTTTATTAAAATATTTATATTTTCATACATAATATATACAGTTTTAGTTTAATTTCCAGAACAAATCAATTGTGACGATGCGCCGCCTCCATTCACAATAAAAAAGCCTTGGTTAACCTGCCTCGCGGAAAACAAGAAGATCTGGAAAGAAAGAGCAGTTATAGGTATGTATTTGATCTGTTAGTTTTACTCGTAAATATTTATCTACGGGTGTCTCGTAGGTAAGTGCAATAAATTTCAGAAATATGTTTAATGGATAACGATAAAAAAAATAAAAAGTAAATTTTTCTGAAACTTCTGGTTGAAACAATATCCGTCTCTTTTGTTTTTTTACTGTACTTCTAATTGATATCTTTAAAAGTATTTAAGATATCCTTATAAAATTGTGTACAATGGTTTTAGGAAATGCTAATCTTTTTTTTTTTAAAATAACCATTGAAATTATATGTACTTGGATTTCAAAATATCGTTTTTAGTTTGTACAACTTAAATCTCTATAGATTGGTTGGGTTTGTGAAAAAAATTCAAGTACGCGATTATTTACCATTTACTGTAAGATCATCTAACAAACAATACCAAGTTACAAATTTGAAAATAGTAAATAGCCTATAAATCAAGATTTTTTTATTGCAGGCCTACTGTATTTCGGTTTTCGATATATAAATTTAAATGATTATTTAAAGTTCCATAAAACAGTTTTCATAAAATCAGTATTATTTTTTTAAATAGTTGTTATAAATAATAAAACAGTCACCGTTTAAAAAAATAAAAAATTGTATTTATTTACTTATTTTTATTTTTAAAATATGTAGTTTTTTGTTTATCAACTTATTGCTTCTTAAAATCGTATGCCGGTACCAAATTTCATAAGAATAGCATATAGTTTTTAAGATATAAGTTAAAAAAAAAATAAATTAAATTATTGTAAATATCTTGCTACCCAGGCGTTTTTGGAAAAAAACTGTTTATCTTAATTTTAATTTTGTTTTGCCTTATTTGAACTGTTCAAAGTATATTAATACTTCCTTACGGAACATTCTGTATATGTATAAAGTTAATACCTAAAGTGATTAAGTAAAGTTTAAAAGGCTGAATTTGCGTTTTCGTTGTAATAATACATCTGAAAGTACATATTTGTAAAAAAATGTTTTATTAAATGTTTTTTATAAACATTAACAACATAAACTTAAATCATTATTATTTTAGTAATTCCTAATAAACGGAATCTGCATACAAAAAGTAATTTCAACTTACCACGATGTCTAGTAACATTATTTCTTTATAATATTTTTTATACAAAATACTTAATTTATTTTAATGATTGGATAAAGAAATCACTCAGGAAAGAGAAGGTTTATTTCAAAAGAAGCTGAGTGGTCTAGAGAAAGAAGAGTTCCTTGACTAAGCCAATTTTGAAATCATTTTCAAATACCAGGATACGAATTCAATCTCTTTCACTACACTTTAAAGTATTCTTATTATTTAAAGTACTCCTTGACAATGATATTAATTACTTAAATATATTTTTCTTGAATGAAGGTGTTCTATAACTTTTTCAAAAAAAGTGTATTACCATAGACAAAAAGAATTTTGTCTATACAATATTACATAGCTCAAATTTATTCCAATTTAATAGGATTCAATTAGCCTTTAGCAACTAGGTCACCAAAATGTTCACGTTATGTAGATGAGGAGATTCACATATGATGCGAGACATGTTCCGAACAAGTGGATATGCACTTTCAGTACAAGCTATGAAACTTTGCATCACCATGGGAAAGATCTTATCTTACCCAACAGGGACAGGCCGATACCACGAAGCACTTCATCCGAAACCGAAAGTCGAAAAATGTCACACCCCAGACAGTTGTTTCATTGATAGACCCTACAGATTCGGGCATCCGATGAAAGCCTGTAGTCTTCCTATTAATTCCTCCTCGGGAGGATATCTACCTCTTATGTGAAAGATAGTTTGAGTTTATTTCTCTCAACACTACTATTTGTTTTTATGGTTATGAGTAGAAACATCAATCTATCTATTATACTCAAAACAATAAGGGGTTTACCTCCTTTTTCGCCCGCCGTAATTAACCAAGCTTTACAATTTAGTAGTGAATAATGGACCTTAGATAAATTTTTCTTTTGTTCCAAAATAGAGTTTGGGAATAGATCATTTTATTATATCAGCTTTATGACATAAAAAGGCATGAAGCTGAACTAAAAGTCCAGACTGCGAAAGAAAAAAAGGATGACAAATATCTTACATCAAAAATGACTACTTTAGTAGACTAATTCCTACTGTTTTTAGATGCGGCAGCAAGAGCAGCTGCAGAAGCGGCGGCGGCGGCAGAAGCAGAGGAAGAAGAAAGGAGAAAACAAGAAGAAGAGGGTCAGAAAAGCGAGGGGAAGGTTGAAGAATAGCATCAAAACAGCCTTCGTCCATTGGCTGCGTACCATGGTGTAGCTTTATCCTTAAGCCGCTTGACGCTTATGTATAATGTGTATATTCTACCATGCTAGACTGATATCAAGTAGGCTGATATATTCATGCACTTCTTCTTCTCACAGCCTGAACAATGTAAGATAGTGAATTTTCTATGTTCTCAATCGCATTGTACAAAGTTTTATTGTAAAAAGTCTTCATTGTTTCTCTCTCTGTAGTTTTCAGATTTGTTATTTAATACGCTATAAAAGACAAATTTCAAGATTTAAGTAGTTTAGTAAAACTATTAAACGTTGTTTTTTTTAGTTAAGTTTGTTTTGTTGTGTACCACTGCGAAATGGTATGAAAAAGGTACTGTAATTAAAGAAAATAGTTCGTAACTAATACGATACACTTGATTAGTACACTTAGATTATCCGAAAGTCCAGAAATGCAGTGTGGTTCTCGTTTTTTCAACATTTTGATAATTCATCCAACATTGTTTATAACTATGTGTATAATTTCTCCTACTTTCATTAAGTAGCCCTGCTTATACTGTATACGTTTAAAAATGTGACGAGGGCCAATAGACCAAACTTTAAGATCGTCGTATTGATATTTCATAGATAGAGTTCACATAAAGACTTACTTCAGCAGGTGGCATGCAAAAATTTTATTTACTAGTAAAAATTGGGTTTACGAATCAAACTTTCTTTCAAGCTTAGTTTAGTTATTTTAATACGTTGTCCTCAACAATACAAATAATAAACTGTATTTTAAATTTAATCGTTTACTAGTTAACTTTGAAAACATCTTTCTAATCACTCTTTTATTCATAAAAAACCTTTTCTACATAATCGTGAGTAATACTGTACAGCTTCCTTTGTACATAAACTAGAGATTCTCGTTGTAATTTTCCTACCTGCAATATTATACCGTTATCGTTTGCGTAAGGCCAGTTTTCACTTGTGCATTTAGAGTGGTAATAAGAACACCAGCTTTTCATAGTATATACAGAGCTATTTTGTAGAAAATATATCTCTTACGAAATGTACTAAGGGTCGTTCTAAATAATGTAATTTTAAGACTTAACAAGTTTAGGGGTTATTTTCAATGCTGAAAGCTCTGGTTTCTTGGTTAGTTCCGTTTCGGAGAATTGATTCTATCCGCTATAAGCAACAGGAAGTATTCGTGTTCTTTGTATATGAAACAATCAGTTTTGTATTATGAACTTTCGAAAAAAATACTGAAGATAACGATTAAAAACGAGTGATTGGTTTTTTTAAATTTGTATTTTTATATTTTGGTCGAAACCGTACGCTTATAATCTTTATGTATCCGTGTGTAAATAATACCAAGAACAAAACTGAAATGTCACAACACAATATTTTTTTTGTTTAGTTCTAATTTTTTCAAGAGTTTAACTTACCATTACTAAAGATAATGTGTGCTAGATAATGTGAAAAAAAAAACTTTGTCCAACACTATCAAATTATTCATGTTATAGTTCTTCCTTATATTTCATATTTAATATTTTACCCAATTCCTTGCCAATATGATAAACTGCTAAGATAAACTTTTATTCTTTGCTATTTAGCTTGAGAATTTAAAAGAAATGCATCCTGCATTCCCTACCTTAAAGCGGACAATTTACATGTCGGTCGCATTTCACTGGTTCATTTACAGTGTGACTAAAGTATACATATTGTGATTGTATCACAGTTGTTATTCTGAACTAACAGTGATACATGAACATGTATACTGATAACTACCACATAACTACTGGCAACCACGTACTTCGTGCAATACATTAAGGGTGTTGATCAATAATGTATTTCCCCAGAAATCAGTCAATAACCAAAATCCGATTTGATATTTTTTAACAAAATAATCATGTGTTGAATTTGTTCTATTCATAATTCATAGACTACTATGTTATGTCTATAGATCCAAATGTTGTATACGGATTAAAATAATTTGGACTTTTTCAATCCATAATGCTTTCCAGTTTAAGTGAACCTGAATAGCTTAAAATGAATAAAATAATTTTTTGAGAATTAATTTAAATAAAACATTATATATGGAATTATCTTTAATAAAATCCACAAATTCCATTGAAATATAAAATAGAGCCGCCATCATACTTTTACGACATACATTTCAGTTTTGCATCATCATGGATGTTTGAAAATAGATGTTTTAATGTTCTGTGTTCGTGCAGTTTATTTTTTATCGGTGTAGCAGTCACATTGATTTTGTTCATTGTTATGCATGAGATTTACACGCTCATGGTTTGGAAAGAGCGGGTTCCACTGATAAATTACTATCGTTGTTACAATAAAACTATATATAAATAAAATCTTTCGTGTGATCCAGGATTGTGTAATATATAGGGCCTATTAATATGTACAGCTTACCATCTGTGCGTAAAACGCTTGATCGTATAGGTTAATACCTTGTTGAAATTTATAAAGTGATATGTTATCTACTGTGCATATTTTAATAATTAATTCTAAGCGTACATGTTCGTTAACTGTGAAAAGTTTAATAATTTTATGGGTTTGTAGATAATGTTATAAAGTTTAATATTGTTAACTTCTTAAATTAATTTAGTGTTAATGATGTTCCTATAATTTTGTTGAGGTTTTAGGTATGTGTCGAATAACCAAGCTTTAGAACTTTGTGTTTAATTTACGCTTTTCAGATTTATATATTATAGTTATCTCTTAAGGTATACAAGCTTACGGTCCAAATTGAAAACAAGTAAAAATTATTAAGAAGAAGGAAAAAATATAAAAATAATAACATTCTTCATTTCTATGTTTGACGACACTGAGACTCTTTTACATTCTTAACTATATCCATAAAACTAAATAGCTTTATTAAGCCTGTTATGTTAAGTTATATCAGCTCACTCTTAGTAGTGAAAAACAAACGTTTGAATAAGAATATTGTAATATCCACAGCTTTGAAAGAGTTTTCTCTGGTACTCTTGTCTTCAAAAAAAGTATTAAAAGTATATCAAATTAATCATAACATAAGGTAAATCCCTGTGTTTCAGTAATTGTTCTCTACATTATGACTCTATGAGCTTTGATAAAATTCTCAGTTTCGACAAACTTAACTATAGAGTCAAACCTCATTCTTCAATACTGGAAGGTGGAACGCCTGAAGTGAAAATCCTAGTTTCGTATTCATTTGTAAATAGATTTTCAACCACAGTTTTTGGACACAGGGTGAACACATTAAAGTGAATATAAGAGGTGTGACCGTCAATATTTCATTTTCTAATAGAATAGATATTGAATCTTGTTAGGATCTGATTGGTCTACGATGTAAAGGTGATTGTTTTATAGTTGAAAGCTACTACAATTTCTGATAAGTTTACCGAATTTTCAAAACAATAGTTTTACCACTCCGGGGTAATTTGCCAAGTTCATTCCCACCAATTAAATTTAAGAGTTTGTCTACCACATTTTGCCTTCGAGATTATTAAATTGTTTTGCAATTCATACCAAGTGCTACAAAATTGTATATATCCTAGAAAACAGAACTTAAATAAAGATAATAAGCTAATAAGAGCAAAAATATTAGTTGAAAAGTGTTATAACCGCTTTAACTAAACACCATCGAGATTTAGGAATCCCCTTTGTACAGTTAGTCTCAGTTTAGTCAGAAGATATGGTTTTCTTGACTCAATATCAATTATCGTACTTAAACTTAACCGGACTTAAGATATAGATCAAAATCTACATCAAATCACACAATACAGGGTGAAAACTCTCAACGTGTCCGAATAAACGCATTTCTTACCAAAAAGCTGTATAAAACTGGTCCATACAAACTGGTTTTCTACTCTACCATCAGAATTTAATAGTAAACAACTACTGATAACCTAACAAGAAAGTAACCTACAGTACGGTTCACGAGAGTCGCATTTGAGGTGCCTATTTACCACGTGACTTTGAAGGAGCCAATGAGGACCCCTCGCTGTTGCCAATTTTAATAATACCAGCTAATTTGAAAATATTGTTTAGTATATTTTTATTAGATTCGAAAATTATTGAACGGGCGATGTTGCAACGACGCGCTAGTCCAGTCTGCTATTGGCAACCTCCGGTTGTGATTACCTTCACAACAGGAGACAATTTGTGTCATTACAAGGAGCCTCCTCTCAAATCAAAGACCTACACCATGGTGTGCCCCAAGGATCTGTGCTAGGACCCATCCTATGATAAATGACCTATCTTTCAACAGACGCACACTTCTTTTTGCAGACGACACTACGTTGTTAACGAGGCACAGTAACCTAACTGATCTGAAGGCTGAGGCATCCTACTTGCTTGAGGAAACCAAGGAGTGGTTTGCAAGAAACCGGTTAAAACTTAATGATGAGAAAACCCAAGCCATCACCTGCACTCTCAAGAAAGGTAATGACGATGAGGCAGTCAAACTACTTGGCTTTTGGATTGATTCAAAGATCAATTGGAGTCAGTATATTGAGAAGGTATGCGTTAGATTAAGCAGAATTCTATTCCTTGTACGAAAACTAAAGTACCAGATCACTCGTCCCTATCTGCTAATGGTCTACCACTCTCTCTTCCATAGCCACATAAACTATGGTCTGGCTGTGTGGGGGCATAGCCCCGCTACCCAAAGTCTGTTGCTACTTCAAAAGAAGGCCGTACGAATAATAACATCGTCAAGTTCAACTGACCATTGTCGGCCTATTTTCAAGGAGCTTGGCATCCTGACCATTCACAGCCAATACGTGCTTAACATCCTAGCCCTCCTGAAAGAAAATGAACCATCCTTCATGACTAGAAGCGTGCAGCATGATTATGGGACGCGCAGAGCATGTGATCTTGACCTGCCCCGCTGCCGCCTCAGTCACACTCTTAACTCCTACCCATCACTTGCTATTCGGCTTTTTAATACGCTGCCGATAGGAGTTCGTGCACTTGACAAAAAGAGATTTAAGCTAACGCTACGCCAGAGTTTGCTCAGTAGACCGCTATACTCCTGGCAAGAAATGTTTGACGAGCCTCTGGTTTTTGTAAATAATACCGCCATACCCGCCATTGTTGCTTAGTTGTATATATATGTTTTGTGTTTTAAATGTAAATAAACGCAATCTATCCAACTTTGTTGGTTAAGGATGAAGTAACCAAGTATCAAGTATCAAGTATCAAGTAAGTAAGTACAATAAAGGTATTTATACCGCTTATATTGTATCTTGGCAATCCGGAGGCTAAAAAATTAAATTCCAAAATTTACTTCAGATTGTATTAGCTTTCAACTCGAACACTAAGGCGTAGGCTTAGATTGCGTCAGGGACCAGTAAGTTCACTATTTGCAGTAAGGAGCATATCACGATTGATTCGTTGCTAAAGGTATTTCAGAATTAGAAATAGAATAGTCATCCTTAATTACATAAGTTAGACATTTTCCACCGTAACCACTGTCTGTTTCACGTGTGGAATTGTAAATAACTAGGCCTATTGCTTTGGAACTCTAAACTCTCGTTCCGATTTCTTTGTATTGGCCTTAAGCTGAACAATGATATTAGGTTAAGGAATTGTGTATAGTTTCAGAAATTTACATTTCTATTGCTACTCATTTACATATCGTTTAAAAGACGAGTCTGTACTTATTTGGTTGTTTTCACTGAATTTTGCACTTGTAAATTATATTTATGACAAGTCTGTATACATAAAGTAACAAATAATGTGTTTGTGTTTTACCTTTTCCCTATTTCTACTCTTAGTTATCAAACGAAAAAGCTCTGTGATACTTACAAACCTACAAACAGATTCTTCAAACTAAAGATTTTTTAATATCCATTTAATAAAGTAATATCACTTCTGAGTATATTCTTAAATATAGTTTTATCCTGAACTCGCCTTCAATATGTTTATACAATTTTTTTTTTGTTTTGTTTCTATATGATTTCCCCAAAAATAATGTCTGGGTTGTGTAACCTGTTAATACTTCTGGTCTGATCAAGTAAATAACTTGAATAGGAGGAACTAATATTTTATGTAAAATATTGGATGTCAATAACGTAAAAGCTACTTGACCAATTGAGCAGATTTTTTTATGAATGAAGCAATTCATAAGTTCACGATTTGGGTGGGTTAGGTGATCACGGATGTAGCTAAAATTAATACTATGGGTTGAAGTGAATTTTAAACTTTTTAATCGTGATTTAAATGTATGCAAAGTTTGGAAATTAAAGATATAAAGTAAAAAACAATGTATTTTACTGAAGATTTTAGAAAAACCACTTTTATGTGTACATTTTCCACTTATATTAGTGCAAACATTGTGATACTGAGACCTGCAACTATTTAGGACCTTTGAAGGTTATAAGTCTGGTTTCCTCTGGTTTCCTGTCCATGGGTTTGGTAATTGCCTTACATCAACACAAGTGTGTGGCCCCTGGTTTCCTGTCCATGGGTTTGGTAGTTGCCTTACATCAACACAAGTGTGTGGCCTCTGGTTTCCTGTCCATGGGTTTGGTATTGGCCTCACATGAGCACAGGTTTGTGGCCCCTGGTTTCCTGTCCATGGGTTTGGTAATGGCCTCACATCAGCACAGGTTTGTGGCCCCTGGTTTCCTGTCCATGGGTTTGGTAATGGCCTCACATCAACACAAGTGTGTGGCCTCTGGTTTCCTGTCCATGGGTTTGGTATCGGCCTCACATCAACACAAGTTTGTGGCCCCTGGTTTCCTGTCCATGGGTTTGGTAGTTGCCTTACATCAACACAAGTGTGTGGCCTCTGGTTTCCTGTCCATGGGTTTGGTATTGGCCTCACATCAGCACAGGTTTGTGGCCCCTGTTTTCCTGTCCATGGGTTTGGTATTGGCCTCACATCACCACAAGTTTGTGGCCCCTGGTTTCCTGTCCATGGGTTTGATATTGGCCTCACATCAACACAAGTTTGTGGCCCCTGGTTTCCTCTCCATTGGTTTGTTATTGGCCTCACATCTACACCAGTTTGTGACTTCTTGTTTTCTGTCCCCTGTAAGCCATACAAGAAAATTATAGTTTGACTTCCAATATGAAAATAGTATAACAAGCTTAATAAGGCACAGTACTACGTCTTTCTCTATCTTTAAGTTTCTTTTAGGCTAATAAAACAATACTATTGACTATCAAAATGTCACAGAAAATAGTATGTTTCACTACTAATACACTATCTCGCCCCGAAATGGGACTTTCGTGCCGAGTATGGAACGATACTTTTTATCACGATGAAAAAGCCTACTTACTTACTTACTTGCATACTTGTATGTATCCCACTGGAAGCTTTTTCAGCCGTGGTCGTCATGTTAGTTGTTGGCCTTCACTCTTCAAGAATTCTTCTACTGAATAATAGGCTTTATTTAATAAGAATATCTTCAGCATTTTCTTGAGTTTAACTCACTGAAGTCTGGGATCTTTGTAATGTAGAATTGGAGTAGGTTAGTCTTTCCCTGATTTAATACTAACATATTTTCAGAGCACCAATTACTCATTTCATTTATGTCAGATTGTGTTCTTTCAATGGCATTATTAACATTTACATCAGTGATTAAGTGACAAACATCATCAGCAAACATCCATATTCTGCCTTCATGTATAGATTCAGGTAGGTCGTTGACAAATAAGAGGAAGAGGATCGGTCCCAGATTCGAGCCTTGGGGAACTCCGGTACTAATGATGTGTTGAATCTTAGATTTATAGTGCTTCATTACTCCATTACCACCCTTGACAACAACCACCGTAACAACTTGAGATCTGTCTTTTAGGTAGGACATAATCCATTTTAGGGGCTCGTCTATTGGGCCTAGTTTGATCAGCTTTCTTTCTAAGGTCTCGTGGTGTAAACAGTCAAAAGCCTTTGTCATGTCATAGAATAGGCTGCAAACCACTTCTGAGCAATCAATTCCGTTATATACTGCAGTAAGCAGGGCAAAAACAGCATCTGTGGTTGACTTCTTTTTTTGAAAGCCAAATTGACTATTTGATAGGATGTTGTTCTAAATATGGGATCAGCCTGCGTAGAAAGGCTACCTCAAAAATTTTTGAGAACACAGATTGTACGGCTATGGGTCGATAGTTACCCACTACATCTCTCTCGTTTTTTTTTTTTTTATGGAGACTATTTTCGATGTTTTTATCCTGTCTGGGAACTTGCCTTCATTGAAGGATTTATTTATTATAAGCGATAGTGGTTTAGCCACACAATCACATACTTTGTCAAACTTAAAAATATATGAATTTCGTAATCCATTCATCTTTCTAATCTAAACACAAAATGGCTGTACACTTCATAAAAAACTGCCAAAACAAACAAATAAATCACTAACTAACTTTGATGATGTCAAAGTTGACATCATCAAATGGCATCAACAACGTCTTTGATGATGCAAAGTATTGTTTGTGTAGCGAAAGTATTGTTTATTAAGGAAAAGTCAGCTGATCGCTATTTGATTTAGGTGTATGGAAATTGAAAATTTTTGAAAATATCAGAAATATGGAAATGGGCTATTTTTGAATGCTGGATGATGAAAATAGTATATTTCGTACCAAGGGCCGAAAATTAGGTTTTGCCGGCTCTAGATAATTTTTTAGTTCGAGACGAAGTCGAGAACTTAAAACGATCAAGAGCTGCACAACTATTTTCGGTCCGTGGTACGAACGCTATTTTTCACCACACTATACCCTAATACCATTATTCACCACAATAATAATGCACACATGAGAGGAATCAGCAAAAATAAAAATAAATAGTTGCTAGGCAGCGGTGACAATAAAACAATTGCAATGCTATGGATACTGATTGTGTATTTAATATGCATTAATGTTTTAAGAAATTAAGCGGGCAGCTGATTTCGCGGCCCTAGGAATGTAAAAACCTGCTCGTTTCCCAAATGACGATGACAGCTGGCACGGCCAGCAAAACGTAACTTTTAGCCACCAATTAACGTAAGCTAAAAGCGTCATAGTGTGGTGAAAAAAGCGTTAATGCCTTCCCTTGAACAGTAAAACCTATGTAGACGTTAAAGTAATGTTATATAAATAGGGGATGAATCTGACATGTTCATGAGATTTAGCTAAAATATAATCAGGCAAATGAAAATTCACTTAGTCATCAGGTTTGCTGTGACAGGGGTATTGTATTATTGTGACAATTTTGGAGCTATTTTAAGGAATGTAAAAATTTAAAAATAAGGTTTTTTACCGTTAAATGACCATCTGTCGCTTTAAATTAGTGTTATAAACTGAAGATTGGTAGAAAAAATCTAATCTTCAAATTAGATGGAAATATTCAATTAATTGGAAATATAAAATTAAATGAGGGGCTACAAATATAAACAATACATCAAGTAGTTTTTAACTTGCCTGATAAAATGGTGCTGCCTTTGTCATTGCCGGTGCGTTCCTCTGTAATATTGAGCTACTATTAAAAATCAATTAAGTTATTATCATTAATGATATGATTATATCACTATTTTATTATTTGCCTAACAAGCTTAGGCATACATTGCCAATTTTAACTTAAATAAGATTTAAATATTGACTAGCCACCCAAAGCGCAGTATTACCACTGTACCCATACTTTTCAGTGGTGTATTCTGCTCAAGTATGGAACATACAGTTAATACTGAGTCGTTCATTCAGGCATGGGTCCTTTTTTCAGGAATATACAAACGTGGGGGTAAATTTAAGTCATTAACTTTTTAAAACATAGTGTTGCGTTATTTACATCTTTTACAGGACCTCCTTGAACACCATATTTTAAGTAATGTTATGGTCATATACGATTTTTCTGTTGATGGGTTTTTGATGCAGATATAGTTTCTACTTAAAAGCAAACGCTTGACAAAACCTAAAAAATCTGTACGTGTGAAAAACGGGTTCTGGGATGAGCAATACTTCCTTCGCATCTGTCCATGTGTTCACAAGAATGAAATTCATCTGTGTTTGAGATGTCTGTGTTGTTCATGATTTGGATAGTCATGGCAATGGAAATTTTTACGTAAAACTCCTTCCTAGTCAGTTTGAAATGATTGCGGACTATCGCGTGTTATGACATAGGTATGACAACAACACTCTGACTGGAGTCAGCCAAATTCACTATGATAGTGTAGTTGCCAGAGTCAGCTACAACCAAACTTGGGCCCTGCTTATAGCGTTTAGCTTTCTGATTAACAGACATTAGAGCCTTTTTACAAGCATAGATTTATGAGGTGACGAATCTGTAAGGTTTTATGAGTCAAAGGTTACAATGGGTACAACAGAGCGTTTTAAGTCCATCGGTAAAGAACCGAATAAGAAGTGAGATAGAATTTTTTATCTTCAAATGAATAGAACACCTAATCTTATGTCTGCTTCTCGACAATATATATAAAGTGTAAATGTCCTATCACGCTATCACCGACAATAGCGTCATATATATAGGTGAATATATGTAACCTGTTCTTTCGTTGGAATGTCCCTCTTGGATGTGGCGCTCGTGTTACACATTATATTTTTCCTACAACCACTTTAAAGCATATAAATAATTATTCTTTCAAACATTATACAACACGTTTTTTTAGTTAAGTTAAACCACAGACAAGGGAAACAAAGTTTCCTTTTGTTTCCTTAGTCAATGGTTAAACCCAAGCGTTGAACGGAATGGGAAATACTGCACCAGCTGATTGTAGTCGTTGTATCTTTACTTTTTTCAAGAGTACACGTATAAACAGTAATAAATAGTATAAACAGAATAAACAAGTAGATTGTTCTGCAAAATATGCCGATAGAACATTTTCTGGCAATTTTGTAATTTACTTACTTACGCACCAAAATAAAAACAGTTCGTACGCTCATTCATACTCATTTCTTGATTTTTCAGGTAACAGGTTTAATGAAATATGGTTTGCAGTTTCTGCTATTTCTTCTAGTCTATACATATATTCACAATCACTATCACTGATTTCGTTATTTTTTATGTTAATCTCACTTGTAATTAATTTTTTAAATGCTACACTTTAGGTTATGTTTAAACCAAGCGTCGAACGAATATAAACACGAAATGACATGTTAAAATGTAGTATCAATAGTCAATCAGCTGATCATAGTAGTATTGTCTCTAAGTGTTGCCAACCTATTTCCAAGCGTGCACGGATTACGTGCATAAGAAAACCTCAGTGTTTTGTGTTGTTTGGTTGGAATCCTGGTGTCCAACAAAGTATAAACCGTGCGACAAAATGTAAAAGTTGCGACAAAGTATAAACGGTGCGACAAAGTAAGTAAAGGCAGCAATTAACAGCTTTATGTACTATAATCAGTGCAAGGAAGCCAACTTTGTCGGGTGACTGTAGGAAAAAGGTTTTGTTTACTTAAACAGACGAATAGTTTGTAATAATCTCAGCTGTTCATAGTGAACACAAAATGATACACACAAGAGTGTTAAATTTCAGAGTGATTTTGTTTTCAGTTTCGATAACTAGAGTGGAGTGATTGATTACATTATCTTCGAGTTGCATCTTTTAATTCATCAAAACTCTTATTCACTCTCTCTTAATTACTCTTATTCGTTTTTAAATAACGCCTGAAAAAAATTACTAAGTGCCCTTTGTTTTCAACGACCGGATCGACAAATAAACCTACGTAGCTAGGACCCTGCATAATGGATAGTTTCATTTTATTTCCAAATAATACTATTAGGGGTCTGCAGGCCAGACTTGTTTACTTTAGATCAGCTCAAAAATGTTACCTGGGATAGCAGACCAAAATCGGTTTGTTTTTTTTTTTAAGTTTTTGAACCAAACCGAGCCTACCATTTTACAAGATCGTTTCATCAAAACTATAAAAATTATTTTCTGAATATACTTACAGCTCTTTGAAGTATTTCACCATGCTGCTCCTTATTCTGTAAAATTTAAGATTTAATTAATCAAAAACCTATTGTATCTTATTTCCGATTATAATATACAAAAACAAAAGGCATTATAATTTGTTATTGAAATTAAAAATGAAAAATGTTTAGAGTCATTTTGTCATAAATTTCCCTTTTTGTAACATAATATTGAAAATAAACGTAATTGTAATCAGAATTATTCATAATAAAGAGTTTATCCGTTTTATCAACAATACTTAGTTTATTGTGTGTTCATAATCATAAACTCTTACATAGGACTATTTTTAGATGTTAATAATGTTCACTTTTAAAAGACGTTCTTCTGATCCTACTTACCACTACTTTAGGATAATTAATTTCAAATAGAATAATAACCAACTCAAATTTTACTTACATAATCATCTTCACATATCCACACTTCCTGTAAAAAAACTTATAATTTAGAAAAAAGTAAAAACTTATATTAAAAGTAAAAACTTACACACCAGTAAGAAATAAATTTAAAACAATAATTATATTTGTAACGTTTGTATTTACCCTAAACTAGAAAAACCATGAAAATTTATAACTATGTAAATATTTCTCAATAAAAAACACCCACCCTTACAACAAACCCATAGCAAACCTACTCTGCGCTGTCAAGATAAAAATCAGTAACTGCTTATGTAAATATTGTCCGAAAACCATCCCAATTTTGAATTCCTTGCCCTAACACATCTGAAGAATCAACTATTTGTTTTACCTATGGTAATTTTTGCCTGATATTATTACTTGACACTGTACAACAGTTATATTTGTGTAACTAGTGTGGAAATGTTCCTTTGCTTCACATGAGAGATTTTTACGCACGAGCCACAGCATATTTTATCCACTGAATCACTATACAATTGTACATCCTGTTTTCGCCTTTATGTGTATGTTATTGCTCAGCCAAAAGACAGCACCTCTTCATACTGTTTTTTTAGAAAATTTCCCTATAGGGAAAGTAGGGGGGTTTTTTAAATGAAATGAAAAATTGTTTATTTTTTCAGGCAAAGTTAGGGCCACATGGCCCTTTCTTACACTTAACCTGACATTCAAAATAGGCCTATAACAAAAATAATGTAACATTGTTTTTTTAGGTATTTAAATCTAATATTTAAATAAATTTAATTGAAAATCAATTCAAAATGGAAATTCGCTTAGTTGGCAGGTTTGCTGTGGCGGGGGTAATTGCATTTCCCATTATATTTATTGGACCTATGTTTGATTCATGACCAACTATATACAGTGTGTTCAAAAAAGGTTGGCACATAATTTACGTAGTGATTCCTTAATTTAAAATAAAGATAAAACTTTTTCAAAAATCGCTTTGTTCACCTAATATTCGCCATTTTGTATTTTTTACATAAACAATTTTATATTTGGATTTTTTCAACCGGTATTTATAAAACTTGGTATGTGTTTTAAGGAAGAAGAGACTTTTTTTATGGCCAGTTGTTAAAAGGTATTTTGATAAGGAACATTTATAGATAATTTATATATTTAATACGCTAGTCATTTTTGTCATAATTGTTTTGGAGCGGTGGTGCGACCGATCACCATGTCCAAGGTGTCGTTAGAAAGGTCTTAGCATGCATTTTTGGCATAAAACAAGAAAAAAACTTTAGAATTCCATCAGAGCTCTGCCCCAGTGGCCTTCAAAGTTCCCATTTTAGTCTTAGGGAGAAAATGTTTGTTTACATTTGAACAGATGAATACTTTGAAATTTACACTAATATTTGAAACAGCTGGTTATACTTCATGCTTTGACTTTTGTAACATTGACTTAACGATGCCTACTGCTTTCTCTGCGAGTCCATTACTGCGAGGATAATGGGGACTAGTAAACTTTACTTCAAACTTCCACAATTTACTGAAGGCAATGAATTCTTGAAAGTTGAATGGGACATTGTCACTTACAAAAATACTTGGAATTCCAAAACGAGCAAAAATTGGCTTCAATGCAGCAATGACAGTTGTTGCTTTTTTATCTCGAATACGCTCAACTTCAATCCATCTTGAGTAATAATCTATTAACACTATGTAACTTTTAAGCATCCCCTCTGACTGTGTTTCATCAATTCTAGCAGTAGATTCTAATTGATGGCCATTGTATATTTTTGTCTTGCATACTTTAGCAAAGTGATTGGGTTTTTGACATTTTAAGCATACTTTATTTTGTGCAGGACAAGGTTGACCTTTGTGAAAATATCCACATCTTGAACATTTGTAACTTCATTATCGGTATCATAAGCTCTAGGACAGATCATTGAGGAATGACCATTTGTCGCTTGGCTGTAATGTAGCTTATTCGTCTGTTGTTTTTGAGTCTTGTTAATAGTAACGTCATCAATGTATGTTGGCTGATCATTTTTCAATAATTGCTTCAGGTTTTCTTCTGCTGTTTCTACGCATCTGCAGTAATCAATTACTTTTTCTAAAAGAACATCGTCTCTTAGAAGGCGTTCTTTAACGCTCACAGATGAAATTCCAACTATGATTTGGGACCGTAGGAGTTTATCTTCTTGATCCCTAAATTCACAAGGGACTACAAGTGACTTTAAATCAATAAAATATTTATCCAAACTTACTCCATCTCTCTGTTTACGAGTTAAGAAACGATGTATTGCCATAGTCTCATTATTTATTTCCTGGAACAAAATTCACATTGAATGAGTACTTAAGTAACATCAGCCGCAACCTTCTTAAACGATTGTTCTTTATTTGATGAATTTGATTATTGAAAATTGATAGCAAAGAAGAATGGTCCGTTTGTACTTCAATGCTGAAATGTCCATAGGCTAAGTTATGAAACTTTTCAAAAGCATATACAATTGCGAGAAGCTCTTTCTCAATCTGTGCGTAGTTCTTTTCACTTTCAGTAAGTGACCTGGATCCAAACATAACAGGCTTCCCATTTTGGGACAAGGAACAACCAAGAGAATAGTTACTTGCATCTGCTTGAATAGTTCTTGGAGAGTCAAAATCAAAGGGATTAAGTAAAGCAGCCCCTGTAATAGCTTCCTTCAGTTTGTCCAAATGACTACTGTGTTCGGTGGTCAATTGGAAACATGTGCTATAAGGATCCTTATATACGTACAATACGTGAAGGTGATTTCTACGAAACACTACTCCTCTGTTAATAATGGATAGATTTTTACAAAACATGTGTCAAAATTAAGTATTTTTTTGTGTATACGCCCCAACTTTCACTAATTTGTGTAATAAAAGTGCTTGAGCTTTGCCCCACAGGCCATCAAAACACCAATGTATTTCTTATAAAGAAAATATTTTGTTTACTTGCAGACAGATACAGACGAATAATTTGTATTAATTACAGCGGTTCATAGTAAACGCATGATACACTTAAGAGAGTTCTTTTTCAGTGTGAGTTCGTTTTCAGTTTTGATAACTGGAGTGGAGTGATTAAAAAAACTATTTCCGAGTTGACCCTTTAAGTAATCGGAAATTATGACTGTTATTCGTTATGAAATAACACCTGTAATACTTTGCAATTGCTTGAATTTTAGCAACCGGTGCACTAGTTGTTTTTAAAATAACAATACATTTTAAGGCACTTTTTATTGTATTCGTTCTGGCCTAAAAAAAAGGCTTTCATTTGAGCTATTGATCATTAACAATGGACTAGTTAGAGATTAAATACAAAAACTGACACAGTATTAAATTTAACTTTTTAGAACCCATTTTTTTATTAAAAAGTATATATCTCGGGATGTTAATACGTCACCAAGTCCTTTCTGGTCCCAAATTACTCGGTAAATGTTTGGTATTCATTTTATCAACCACTAAATAAAATATTACTAGTTAACCGCCCGTGCTCCGCCACGGGAATATTGTCAGCAATAAAACACATAATGATTAACAAATACTGTTTATCTTTGTATTTTATTTAGGGGCTGCGTAATTTTTTATATGAAATAGAACAGGTAGTTTGCCTGCGTAAACTATTTTATGTAATCAAACCGATATATTAATTTAACCAAATGAATGTTTTATATTAATTCGAGTTTCGTTTGAAAAATAAATAGTATACGAACTGCGCAATGCTGATAACCTAATAAGCAGCTACTTATGCTAAGGAGATAATTTGTTCAAGTATATTCCTGTATTCGCTGTTTTCATTACATTTGTTGTTAAGGAATAAAGATAGTCACTTACATGTAAATCACGCATCAGCAGTCGGTCGCATTTCACGAATCTTTGACCCATTCTGTGTGTAACAGCTGTATTTACATCGTATACATAAAGTTGGGTATACTTTGTTCAATGTTAGAGGGTATTAACGGTTCAATCCGATGTATAGACTAACACTACCAGAAAGATGTTGATTCAGATGCGACTTAGAACTCGCCATTTCAAATGCAGATTTGTATGATATTATTAGTTTTTTGTTTCTATTGACCCTTAATACTTTTTTATAGTCGCTGTAGCCTTGTTGATAAGATTTTCCATAAGCTCAAAATGTTGATAAGGAGCTCATTTTACCTTCCCTTTGTGACAACAAAGGAGAATATGTTTGTGTCCTTTTTAGTCTGCTCTGACTGGAAATTCATAGATTTGCAGTAGTGAAAAATCCAATTTAACTACCCCAATTGGTTGGTGTATTTTTAGGGACTTCCAGAGCACATTTAACACCATCACTGCTCTTTACCTTTTTAGTTCGATGGTTCTCTACGTGTTTTTTTCGTTCTGTATGTCTCTTACGCCCAGTTAATGATTAAACCTTTTCTTTTTCTTTTTGCACTTTTCACACCTTGGGGTTAATTATAAAGTATTATAACGCTATAATGACCCGAGTCAACATTGCCATTAAACATCAAGTCACATACTTCTTCGCCAGAACCGAAATTGTAAGTCACAGTTTCACAAGCAACTTCCCTGAGTACTCAAGTGAAAAATAGGATATAGTTCACTGATAAATTGTAGTTCCACGTATTCCCAGCGTACTCGACATCTCGAGAAGGTAAAATTTGGTACTGCTGAACGTCAAACATTGATCTTGAGTAAGATTAATCACTACGATAAAATGTTTCCCACTCATTAGCAATTATCTGTACAACTTGCAAGCGGATTTCCCCATGATTGTTCTGGTGGCTATAGAAGAATAAATTATATTGATCAAAACAATAAGTTTCCGTCCCCTACTATGGGTATTATTTCACATTCCATACTCAAACTTAAACTCAATTACCACTTTCCTTCAGATCACTTCGCAGGAAAACTAAAACATTTCAAAAATACAAAATTTACACCAAAACATACAAATAATGTACAAAAATACACTTTCCTTGATCAAAATTCAAATGTCTGACAAAAATTAAACAGCTGACGAATAATTTATAAACTGTGTATTATATTCTTCAATAAGAATTGTA